TTTATATTTATATTTATATTTATATTTATATATTTATATTCTTATTTATATTTATATTTATATATTTATATTCATATTTGTAGGGCTAAAAAGTGAAATATCATACAGAAAGAGTTAATCTGTTAATTTAGAATCTTAAAATTACTAAATAAATGACATATTTGTGCTACTATTCTACAGAGTTACTGGAAGAATGACTTAAAAGTAAAATGAAATTGGCAGTACTGAACAATATTTAGTAGTTTCTTCAACAGTGACGCAATAGTACAGCTGTTGCGAACAAAAGTATAATTGTCAAAATACAGGTGGATGTATAATTAGGTACCAGAAGAGCAAGCCATGTTGTAGTTATCGGCTGCTTGCCAAAAGCCGCTTCCACGTAACATTCCTTGAACAGAAATTTTTGGTCTATAGCCTCAATAAATCTGAATTTTAATCCTGATGTTAATATTCTAAGCACTTTCACTTTTTCATTACCTTATATGCTTTCTAAAACTTTTTATTTGTTGTATCGTCTATTGGCATTTGTTTAACGATTGTGTCATTGAAGTAACAGTTAGCATTAACCTGTTGAACCTGTTACCCAAATTCTTCTCCTAAATAGTCGTTGAATCAATAGCCGTTAGGCCAAAAAACAAAATTACATCGTTTCTTGGCATAAAGAAATGTCTATACCATTTTGTTTTGTCATCAATAATAATGTAAAATTTACCGTTGAAAGTAATGTTCTAAAATTTAAACACTTTTGTATTTACAAAACGTATAACCTACAAGAATTAGATTTTCTTAATCTATAGTTCTTATTAAACTAATTTTGATGTTGTTTAAATATTACTTTCAGATGAAATCCACTAATATTTTAAAGAAGTGTTTAGTGTTATTTCCAGAAGTATCATCAACTATCGCAATGTATATTTAGTTGGCAATTTTGCTTTTTCACTTAGCCAACTATATTTTAGTAACAGTAAATTTAGAAAAACTTAAAAAATTTAAAGCAGTAATATCTGGTGGCTTCCTTTTCTCTTTTCAATATGTAGTGTTAATATATGGACAGCACTTATTAATTATTTTATTACTTATCAATGGGCAAATTTTCATCGAATTCAAAAGCATCGTCGTTCTGGGTGCCTCGTAAAATATATTCCACTTTGGTTAGCCGTTGTTTTAAATTCATATTGGTGGTCTGAAATAGAATACAGCAATTGACTACTGCTTTTTTATACTACTTTTCTTTACAAAAAATACAGAAAAAAAAAACAATAACAAATAAAAAATTACTCTTGTCTACAAATGATACTGCTGCTCAAAAGCATATACCAAAAAGTAATTTTTCAAAAATGGCGCTTATCAAACATTTTCACTTAAATTTATAAAATTTTCTAGTAATTACTAAACAAATTTTTTTACAGTAACAATTAATTACAAATTGATTTATCTGATGTGTGCAAAGATTACAGTTTTAAAGCATTATTTTCGTATTTAAAACAACTTAATAAACAATATACATTTGATAAATCTGTCAGTTCTACTGGTAAAAAGGAACAATTTTTTCTCCAGTATTTGAGCACGTGCTTAACAGTAGATTAGAAACTTAGTCTGCACACGGTTAATAAACCTTATGCATTCTAGTTGTTCCTGTCTTCAACGTTTTATTTATCTAACTTTTCACATTTGTATACTGCTTTTCAATTATAGCCCATAATCAACCTATATTTTTTAGTACGTTAGAAAAGTAGCTCTTTTTCTCTTTTAAAGCGTAATCTGAGGAAGAGTGCGTGTGGAGAGGAAGACAGGAGAGTAGTTTATAAGATTGGTTAAACAAATTTTACTAGTCAATTAACTGATTGAAAACTAATTGTTTACATATTTGAAGGCTATTAAATAAAATCTGTTATGCAGTCATCAGAAAAATAATAATTAAAAAAAAGACGTTAAAATTTTTACAAAGGGAACAAGTTCACATCTTAAGAGCAATCTGAAATTTTCAAGATTCATCTTACCAAAAAAAGAAAGTTATTTATCCTACACGGCAATGTTCAGCTTTTCGATAAAATAGCAAACGATTATTATATCCGACAGTTTTAAAACCGTTATTTTGAAAATCAGAAATTGAAATTAAACAGTTTTATAAGCATAACGATGATAACACTAAGCAGAGCGAAGGAAAAAAAGCAAAAAATTCCCAAGTAATTTTCAGGTGTGCAAGTTTTGCAACATTGCAAGGTTTTAAGTTCTGTAAATTAATACAAATGGTAGACACTGTTAAAAACTGAATTAATATAGCAGCAGAATTTTTTTCAGTACTTTAAATCTGTGTATGTATTCTGTTCTGAATGAAGAACAGTTCTTCTCTATTTACTAAAGCAAAATCATCAAATTTTTTATGCAACATAAACTACAGAAACTACAGAGGCTGCATAAAATAAATGCTAGACGCTGCAAAACCAATCCTATTGACGTTTTCTCTTTTATTTGTATTCGGTAAGGCGATATTTTTTCAGTTTTTTAGTTCGCTCTCTGTTGTGTATTGCCATATACTTGACAAACTAAAAAACTGTTTACTTGTTTAGAGTTTATACAAAGAATAACCAATAACATCTTTTCTTTTGCATCTTTTTTGAGACTTTTTTTTTTTGCACATATAATGCAACAGTTCTTTTGGTTAAACTTAGGTATTTTTTTTTACAATAACAATAAAAAATTGTGAAAAATTAACTGAATTAAAATAATTGACTGTGTTTTGTCTGCAGCATAAATAATGTGCTGAACAGTACTATATTTATCGCTCTGGATAGGTAAAGGTTAGTGTAAAGATTAAATCCTCTAAAGAATTGAAATTATTGATTTCTACGCTGAAGAAAACTGAATCAGTTTTTATCAAAACCTTAGCAAGAAACAAACAGACAGCAAAGTAGGTCAAATATTAATAAAGATTTGATAAGAAAACACTTTGTTGTTAGCTGTTCTGGTTGTTTTCTGTATTTGTTCGTTAATTTCTGAAATTTTTACGTTTTATTTTATGAAATTTAACTAATAACTAAACTTGTTTATATAACAAGTTATTTGCTCTACGAAATTTGTCACCAAATGGTTTTTGATCAAAGCAAACGCTAACAAACTGCAGCAATTGACTGTCACTACCACAGCCGATTTGAATGCTAAATTTAACTAATAACAATACGTTTTTCAATAAAACCCAACAAAATGCAACTTAAAATAACCATAAATTGTATACCCGTTAAAATTTTGTGCAAAAATTTTTCCTTCTTTACAAACCTGTTAAAAATTGATTTTTTTTTTTTGGCTAAAATTTTTTGTTAAAATTAAAAATGTATGAAAAATTGAATTCAAAAAAAAAAAATAAATAAATAAATAAATGTTAAGCGATTTGTTAAATTGTATCTATTTGTTGTACCAACAAATGCATGCAAAAATAACAAGTCAAAAATTTTTTACGTTAAAATCCTGATAAAGGTCGTCAAGTCCTTTTTCAATTTCATCTAAAAATTTTCCAACTTCTATTAGCTGTTCTTCTCGACAAAGCATTTTCCATTCATCTGTTCTATGATCAGCAAGAACTGGATCATACAAACGTTCAAATTTTAACAGTTCAATACCTGCAAATGCATTAGTGACAGTGGCTTTCTTTTCTTGTTTCTTAAATTTATTACATAACAGCATTTCTGAAAGTATAAGATAGTCTTCTTTCTACAACAAAAATTGACCTTTATAAAATGAATCATTGAGAGATAAACAGTCAACATTTGTAGTTTTTTTTTTGAAAATCAGCAAATATAGTCAGATCAGCAGAAAAAAAATGAATAAAAAATACATTTCTGCAACTTTATCACGATCTTTGAATCCTTTTTTTAAGAAGAATTCAAAAGTTCAGTAAACAAGAATTAGTTTACACACAGGTTTCCTAATTTTTTTCATATTCGACGTTTTTAAACAATATCAGTTTTGGAAATTAAATTTTGGTCAATTATTTGATTCTTTTTATTAAATTTTTTGCTATTTTACAACTAAATTATCTGTTATGGTAAAGAAAAAGCTTCGTATCAGAAAAAAGACATGCAAGTTTTAAACATCAATTAAGACGTCATTCAAATTTGTCTTCAGTTTTTTTGCAGCAGAAAAGTTTTTCATACTTTATAATAAATGCTTTAATATCAGGTTTAGATGAGAAAAAGTCAGCAGCAGAAGTGTGAGATCATAAAAAAAACTATAATTTAGCTTTTAGTGTTTTTGGAAATACAGAATTATCAAACAGAAAAAAACTGTATATCGCTTCTTAACAAGGCACAATTACAAATGCAGAACAGGCTGGCTTTATATTCCTTACAACACTAAACAAATCTTTTATTTTCTTTCTGTGTTTCAAACTTTCATGCTTTTATAAAATTTAGCTTCAAACTGATAGAACTTTGCTAGGTTGAAGTTTAGAAGCATCCAAACCACATCTGAGCACCAACATTACAAAAAACAAAAAAATCTGTATTAGGAGCAGCTGTAGCCCTACCTCGCTTAATTAGTTTCCTGCGTTCTTCAGGATAATCTTGTAAAACTTCCATGGCATCATCCTGATGTAGCGAATAAATGTCAGTATAGGCAGCTGCACAAAGTGCCACTTCTCGACGATTCCCGCTGATATCGCCCGACAAATTTAGTATAGCTAATTGCCCAAAAACATCACCAGCCTCTAAGACTCTATATATTTCTCCACCGTCATCGCTAACACAATTAAGTCGACCTCTTTCAATAATATACATTTCCTGGAAGACTACAGCGTTAGAAAAAA